GCTAAGGAATTCACCTGGTAGATAGAAAAGCTAAGGTAGGGAAACATCTGCCCCATGACTTGAGAAGTAGGGCTTAAAAACCAAGTAACATATATTCAGTAGATAAAATAATACCTTATGCTTTGTATCAAAATAATAGTCTTTTTAATACAGAGATTGAGTTCTTCATGAAGAATTAAATGAAAAATTGTGTACAATTTTAAAAACAGTAACATTTTCCCAAGTAACACTAATTAAGGGAAGAAAATTTATTTCAAGAGAAATGACAGGAGAATGTGTTAAGAGAATCCTGCATAAAGACATCTGCTTTCTGATCTTCAAAGATTCCTAGAGAATGACTAGCCTCAGCAACCAAACACAACCATGCGAGATGTTTTACAGAAGAGTTGGGTAAGTTCTGTAAGTATCTGAGCCACCACCTTTGAATTTTATTTTATTTTTTTTGCCAGTACTAGAGTTTGATTTCAATACTCTACCATTTGAGCTGGCACTCTATCACTTGACTCACTTACCAGCTAAACTTTTTGCTGGTTAGTTTGGTGTTGGAGTCTCAAATTCTTCTCCCTGGGCTGGCTCAAATGCCTACTTTCTAGATCTTAGCCTCCTGAGTAGCTTGGATAAAAAGCATGAGCCACAGGCTCAAACACCTACATAGGTTGGTTACCTATGCAGCAATGGAAAATATAAAAACAACACTTCAACAAGATTTTTATATACAAATATATTACTTAAATGTCAAAAGAAAGCCTAACTATATTATAAAATATATTTTAGTTTTAAATATAATTTTAGATGAAATAAAATCTAATGGAAGAAAAAACTATAGTAATACATGTTCATTTACACATATAGTACATATGCAGATCACATCAATTTAGATGGACTATATGGCTGTAATTTGTGATTTTATTTATTAACTTATCCTCTTGTTCAAAATCATGAACATTTTTAGAAAACTTAATGTCCTAGGTAATTGTCATGAAAATAACCTTCCATTTAACATTTTATAGAATTGATCTGAAACTGTTTTCCATTCAAAATGAAAGGAAAACATCACTCAGGATATAGCTACTCCAACCATAACTTCCATTCCAGGATTTACAATGTCCTCCTGCCTACTTAGAGAGGATCCCAAGATCTGAAAAGTAGAAAGCTTGAATAATAAAAGTCATGTTTATCTTCTGAAACATTGGAGGAACTTATGATTTGGAAAACAAGAGTTCAGTATTTTCAAAGATTCTGCTTCCATGAACACCGTAGTAATTTATACTTAAACCATAGCGAAGGCTTAAGTTTCTGAATTCACTTCTGTGAAGCCCTAGCTCAAGTGGATAAATTAAAAGAGAAAATCAAGTGGATAAAATGAGAAAAAATTCTCTGGAGCAATAGAGGGAGTGAATTTGCTCAAAGTACATAGTATGCACATATGGAAGTAACACAATGAAACCCATTTGTAAAATTTCTATCCTCTAATAAAAATTTACTCAATACAAAAAGTATGAAACATAAAAAGACAAACTGGACTTCATAAAAACAAAACCAAAAAACCCACCTCTCTGATGCCTCATTTAGGCAAATTAACTTTGAAATTTCTGAGCCTAGAATGTCATTAGAAGAAAAAGAGTACTAGTCATCCACTTTGCATTGTGAAGCCACTTGGAAGCCATTGGTCATCAAGCATCAAGCATGGGAGTTTTATGTGAGAAATAAAAGTTTTTTTTTTTCTTTTTCCTCCAGAGAGAGCAAAGTTAACCATTAGAAACCCAATTATCAACACCTACCAATATATTCCCAAACAGCAGCCCTACTACTGACAATGAAAAAGACCACTCTCACTGTGCTCACTGGAAGTCTTGGTCTGGTTGAGCCAGGAGGAAAGGCCACAGGGACTCAACTGTGAGAAGATTGGCGAAACACCAGAGGATCTTAGAATAAGTAACAAAGTTGTCCCCCAATCCCTCATTTCTTCAACCTCTTCCCACTTTTTTTTTTGACTGGGATTGATATTTTCATCCCTATTTCTGCTTGCTTTTCCAATCCCCTTAAGAGGTATTTCTGTTGCTCAAGTGACAGCAACGGCTGAGGACAGGAGCTGGTTAAATGAAAAACAAGGCAATGTCCAACTACAAAGGCCAAGTCAGCTTATTCAATCTCTCACTCTTACTGTGCCCTTGCTTCTTCCACCTAACCAGTGGTTTTTTGTTGTTATTCTTGTTTGTTTTGTTTTTGAGAAAAGGAAATCCTAAGGCTCCACGCTTAAGAGGTATAGGGACTTGAAAAATGTCTTTTCCTTTCCCTTTACTCCTGTTGTACAGATTGACCAGATCCATTCATTTGCATGTCCAGATAGGGAAACACTAATGATATTAATAGGCAATAGAAGTTAATAGCAAACTAAACCATTTATCTCTATTTCAGAACTTTTAAATCAAGAACTTAATGTGGTGGTTTGAAAGAGAAAGAAAATGTTGGATCTTGTTTCTTGGAAGAAATTGGTACATAAGTATCAGAACTTTAAGAATTCTGATCCTAATCCCAAATCTTAAAACACTAGGGTACAGGAGGAAGAAATTAAGGTTACACAGGGAAGAAAAACTCCTTGTACCTCAGAGGTCAAACATACCAGTGAATATTGAGGGCATCGCTTGTCATTTTACTCATTCTCAGAACTATCATTTGCCTTCTCCAAGTGACTTCACCCCACCAATTCCTCACTGGTAGCAATCTCACTGTTCACCTGGATCATTTCCCTGTTATTTTCCAAGGTGGCTAGCTGACCTACTGTGCCCAGAGATGCCTTTTCCTGTCCACCAATGTCCATCTTTGTCTGCGGACTGGCCTCCTCCTCCAGTCTTCAGGACTCTGTTTTTCTTTTTCTGTCCCCCTGACCTACCTTTTCCTCCACTGTCATTCTTCCCCACACCCTTTCCCTGGAACAGCCAAGCTTATCTCTCCATCTTTCAGGGCTGAGTTTCTCTCAACTATCTGCTCTGGTCCCTCTGCCTGTGTATCTGGCTTCCCCCACAAGAGCCTAGGGCTACTCACTGGTGCTCACAGCAGGTGCACCTGTCTGGGAGTGGAAACTGGCACCCAGTTTTGTTTTTCTTGTTTCCCTCTGCATCTGTACTGATGGCTATATAGGGATCTCTCAGCCACATTTCAAGCCCTTTATCACTGGCAGTTCATTGTGTGTAGTTAGGTATCTCTCTCCCTGTATAAACACTTCTTTCTCCCTGTTGCCCCTTTAGCCTTCCACAAAGCTAGTGAGTGTTTTGTACCATATGCTTCTTTGGTCAAAACACATGTGTTCGAGTGTGTCCACCCAATTCTGAGTGCCCTCCTAACAGTATGCTAACCTCTGAATCTCCTGAACATAGCCTCTCACACAAGTGCATACACTTCTCAAGATGCCTCCTGTGTGTGTGTGTGTGTGTGTGTGTGTATGATGCTTTAACCTCCGCTGACCCAGGTTTACACCTCTCTGAGGAGTTTTTGCTTCAGGCTGTTTTCTCAGTATGCACTTTAAGTGCCTGGCACTAGTGGGAGCTCAACAGATGTTTTTTTTTTTTCCTCCACTTTTATCTGAATAAATATGGGAGCCTGTGTCTGGTGTCCTTCTGCCCCTCGGAGCCTGTTTTATGAGACCAGTTGGAGCATGTTCCTGGGTATGGACTAGGCTATTTGTCAGGATGCTCTGTGGATGGTCCACCTCCCTCTAACTACGTCTCTCATCTTGAGAGTACGTAGTTACTGGTTCCCCATATGGTAACCTGTTTTTCACTCCGCAGTGTATCCACCCTTCTCCTCCATCTTCCCTACTACGTGTGCATAAATGGCTTTCCCTGGCTGTCAAGTGTGTTTCTTCTTGGTACTTATCTCCTACTACTACCCCCCTCCACCACCCCCTCTTCAACGTGAAAGCGTTTCTGGCTTTGGACTCTGATTTCAGTGTTTGTGTGTCTGAGCTCCTCTCTATCCCAGAGAGGTGTATGGCCGCAGCTTTCTCTCCGGAACACGCGGCAGAGGCAGGAGTCCGTGTCCCGAATGTCAGCTCCCTCCACGCCACCCTACTTCTCTCCCTACCGCTCCCTCCCCCCACCCCGCCGCTTTCAGGCTTGTTCCACTTCTAAAAACTCCAGAGTCCGTCCCGGCCACGGCGCGTCTTTCGGGTAGGCTGAGCTTCCGAGAAGTCGAACCCGATGTCTGGTTCCGGCACTAGGGTAAGAGTCCTCCGGCGCGCCCGCGAGACTCAGCGCCGGTGTGTCTGCCTCGGCTACGGGCTTGTCCGAATCGCCCAGCGCCGGTGTTCCCGAGTCCCGGGGAGTGCAAGGTGTCCCCCCCTCCCCGCCCCCCGCTCCCCGACCTCGCACTCTGAGTGCCGGTCAGGGCGAGCACCCGGCCCAGGGAAAAGCGCCCCGTGTCCCCCAAGCCCCAGTGGGCACTAGCTGGTGTCATACACCCCCCACCCCCGGCCCAGCCTCACGCAGAGAGCCGGGGTTCCGGTCTGCGAGGGTCCACAGTTACCCCCCGAAAGCGCGGACAGAGGGTGCGCACGGGTGCGCCGGGTTCTTTACTGGTTCTCCGCGCGCGCCCCACTCCCCGACCCCGCCATGGGCAGCGTGGGCCGGCCCACTTCTATCCGCGGGCACCTCTCTCGGTCTCCGGGACCGAGCTCGCCAGGAAACCCGCGGGCGCCGTCGGAAAGTCCCGCAAAGGTGGCGCAGCCCAGGCCGGGCGGAGGCTGCCTCGGCCCCGCCGCCAGGGGCCGCCCGCACGCTAGCCGCGTCCCTGCGCCCCCGTCGCCCCGCCGGCCCCGGACCGCGGCGTCAGCGACCCTGCCCCGGCTCGGCGCGGCCCCACCGCCGCGGGCGCTGACGGCAGCGCTGGCGAGTCCAGGCTCGGCCGGCCCCGCGCCAGGTGCCCGGGCGAGGAAGCTCAGCCAGACGGTGCGGGGGTGCCCGCTGCCTCCCGGAGCCCGGCCGGCCGGCCCGCCCGCTCACCTTGTGGCTCTGGTAAGTCTCGAGCGCCCGGATCGCCGTCTCGGTGAGCTTCACATGCAGGACGGTGATGTTGTCCTGCCCTAGCCGCCCGCACGACAGCCCGTAGCGCTGCTCCTCCCGCAGGCCCGCCGCCCCCCCTGCCGCCATCTTAAACTCCCCGGGGTGCCACCGCCGACGCCGCTCCGGCTCTAGCCTCCACTGCGGCCGCGGCTGCTCGGGCTCCTGCAGCCGCCGCCACAGCTACGGCCATCCCGCTGCTGACGTACTGTCATAGACTGCGCGCAGCCAGACTTCGGGCTGCCACCGCCGCCACCCGCCCCACCCTCTGCCCCATGCCCCGCCCCGGGTCCATCTCATTGGTCTCTTTTCCCTCAGAGCCGCCCTCATTGGCCGCCTTCCAGTTCCCTCGGGGGCGGGGCTCAAAGTCGCCAGAGTTTTGGCTCCCCGGACGGGACGTCCGACAGATGAGAGGCTGACGTCGGGGTGACGTGCTGAGTTAATCGCCTCTGACGTCACGTCTAGTTGTCTTGGCTCACTTGCTGAGCTTGGCCAGACAGATTTGGGAATCCCCTGCTAATCGAGTACCCAGATTGCCAGGTGTACATATCGAAGTCGGAGCCACGCCCCTTGGAGGAAAGAGTAGGCAATCTGTGTGGGAGCCGGATGCGCGTAAGATTACCCACCAAATGTGAGAGCAGGACCAGGGACCAACGAAGTGGCCTGACAGCTATGGAAGCTTGTGCAGGGTGTATGCACCCGAGGAGAACACAATAGGTGGGTGGGGTCCTCGGAGACTTCTTCAAAAGCAACTTCAGATGCTATTAGAACTCCCTAATCATTTTTCCTTTAAACTTTGAATTAGCGAATCGATCCTAGTCTTTTGGAGTTATGCTAAATCGTGTGGAATAAATGCAAAACCATCTCGAGGGCTTCACTGTCTTTTCTGTGGTGGAGCTGGTATACTAGGGACATGAACTTCAAGGTCTGGTTGAGATCTCATAGGATCCAGGTATGCTTCTCTGGAGCTAGCCACGAAGTCAGGATCATGCCTTTTTATGGGGTATAGAGAGGCTACTCTGCTTGTGGTCTAATCTCTTTTCAGAGGACCTAGAAGAATAGAACTGACTTAGACTTGAATAAAAAGAAACATGGATACCTCTAATTTTCTCCTTCAGTGTGAGTACCTCCCATCTTATTTGACAAGGCTGCAGGAAAATTTAGCTAGGGTTGAAGGCTAATTGTGATGGGTTGTAGGGGCTAAGTGTAGGAGACAGAAGCGCATGCATGCGGAGGCCTGGCATACTTTCCATTCTCTGCTGATGCTCTGTGTGTAGGTATGTCCTAAAGAAAGAGCCTAGAGTCCTCTTCAGGCTGTGGGTGGATAGAAGAGGTAGGTAGTTTCCCAAGAAGATGAATAAACTGGTAATCAGAAACACCAGATAAAAATAAGTCACTAAAAAAATGTGAAAGTATACAGCAGCACGTTCAAACACACACACACACACAATTTTTAAATAGAGACATTTACTGTTATCCTCAGATTACCGAATCTTAAGTGTTTTGTTGGAATTCCCCAGGAATTTTAGATAATTTAATCAGTGTTTCCCATTCTGTTAAAATGGGAGCAGTGCTAAGATTGTTTTTTCTACAATTCCACACACTCCCTACACACACTTGAATAAATTCCTTACAGGTACACTCACTTTTTGATTCAGTTCCTCGAGCATTCTACCTATATACAATGTAAATTTCCATAAGGGATTCTGTTTCCATATCATATGGGTTAAGTGGAAAGAAACACCTGCATCAATTCTTGTCTCATCACAGGAAAGCATTTTGTGAATTAATTTCAATCCATTAGAATTGGCTACTGTTAAGACACAATTAACACTTGTTAATTTAATTGACTCTTAGTACAATAACCGTGTTAGTACAATTCATTGGATAAGAAAGTAAGACAATCACAAAACTAGATTAGGAATTTTAGAAGGGAATAAAAGCTTTCTATTTCCTTATTTTCTCAGCTTTCCAAAAGTAAAAAGCTTACTCCAATAGTTCATATCTAAGGGAATTATACTATAAAAAGGGTTTTTGTACTTTAATTCTCCTTTTCTATTTTTTTCTTTTCTTTTTTTTTTATTGTGAAAATATCGTACAGAGGGGTTACAATTACATGGGCAAGGTAATGAGTACATTTCTTATCAAGCATTGTTGCCTCCTCCTTTGTTTCCCCTTACCATCCCTTTCCTTTTCTATTTTTTGCTTTGTTTTTGCTTCTTCATTCCATGGGGAGGAACTGATCACATGTCTAAAGTCTTATTTGAGAACAATGGTGGAGATTGGTGGGGGAGCCTCAAAGGTTTGACCAGAACAAGTAAACCCTGTATTCCATTGCCTTTCCAGTGAGAGTGGGTAAACCCCCTGCCCACAGAAAGCCCCAACTTAGTCTCTTACTGAGAATTTCTGATGACATCCTAAGAGCGAGCGGGGGAGAAACAATAGTGGTTTTTCATTGTTATTTTTCAAATTTCTAATCTGTGATCCCTTACTAGGAATTGATTTGTTTTCTCAATTGTGGTAGGAAAATTTCCTTATGCCATATTTTAATGGGTAACACATCTTTCAGTGGGTAACATATAAATGTAGTGAGTCAATGTTGCTTGCATTTTTCTCCCTTTGAGTTTTCCAACCATAGAAGGAAGCAATGATCCTGTACATAGTGATAAGATAATCTAGTAATGTCTCTTAATTGATGCCTCACAGGCATAGGACACATTATGCCTGCCTGACTCAGATGGTCAAGTTGTGCTGCTCCTGCTCATGAGGGTAATTAGTTTTAAGGGGGCTGATGAAAGTTACTCTTTGGGAAAGTCACCATTGTAAACACATTTTCTGTGTCTTTATTCAGTTCAAATAACTAAGCATTGATGCTTTCTAAGTGTAAAATGCTGTGAAGAATTAAAAAGATCTATCTTTATAGTCTAGAAAGGAATTTTCCATATAAATGTGGTGAATGAAGCAGCACACTCCAAACAAAACAATTAAAGAATTAGTAAATGCTAATTTGACGGTGTTAGTGATAAACTCAAAAATTCTAAGAAAGAAGTCTGTAGAGGTTTTGTGGAGGTGGAAGAACTTGAATTCCTCTTGAGGGCTGAGTAAATGGAGTGAGGCCAACTAAAAATGATCTTCATGATCATGCTAACTGAAGCCTTTAATTTTATGAATAAGGAAACAGAGACCCCACTAATTTTAAAGTAACCGGCCTGCTCTATTATAATTAGAAGAGACAGGGTCTGAATCAGCTCCAGTGTCTTTGTACCTATATACACTGAATAACTGGATTTAACTCAAAAGAAACCTATTAATCTACTAATGTCATAAAACAAGGTCATGGCAACACACACGTGTGTGTGTGTGTGTGTGTGTGTGTGTGTGTGAGTGTGTGTAGCTGGAGAATGTACAGATGGAAGTTCCTTTTCCTTGGAATTCTCTCTCTGAAACCTCTTGTCCCTTATTATCTGACCTGTACCATTATACTGCTCTCCTCTCTCCTTTCAAGACTCTCCTAGACCTGTCCAAAGATATTCTTTCCTTGGACACATTTAAAAGGTTTTTAAAGAACATCACTGGCTGGATGCAGGTGGTTCATATCTTTAATCCTATCTACTCAGGAGGCTGAGGCCTGCGAATAGTGGTTAGAAGTCAGCCCAGGCAGACAAGAGCATAAGACTTTTATCTTCAATTAACCATCAAAAAGCCTGTGTCTCAAGTGATAACATGCTAGCTTTGAGGAAAAGAAGTGCAGGGACAATGCTCAAGCCCTGAGTTTAAGCCTTCAGACTCACACACACACACACACACACACACACACACACACACACACACACACACACCATCACTGTTTATAGAAAATAAAACTGTAATTCTTGTAGAAATGGTTTAAGTACATGTTGTGTAAGCACAGGTTTCAAGCTAAATGATTATTATTGTATCTTTTGTGAATGGTTTTTTTAGCTCAGTTCATTAAGTGTAAGAAATACTACATTGCATCATCTATTATTATAATTATTATTATTATTTCTAAATCTGGCTGAGTTCCCTCATCTCACTGAAAGAACATGTGGAGTGAAATGAAGATGGAAAGGTCTTGAACTGAAGTTGTTCTTAGACTTAGATTGATGTATTTACCTGGGGCAGAGGTAAGGGAAGCACTGGCAGGGGTTTTAAGAAAGCAGCTAAGACCACGTGATTTCCTGAAAGGGATAACTGACCTGGGATTTTGCTGAGAGGAAAAGCCTTAGGGTACTAGGTCCAGCCTCAGATGAAAAGACATTAGATCTAGCTGTGTGCTTTCTAGAACTCGTAGCCTCTATATCTTCTCACAGCAAGTTTTCTGTAGACATCCACCTCTACACTTACGCTCCAGGGTTCTTTGCTCCTTCTAAAACAATCTGAAATTAAAATATTGTAATCTCAGTTTGGAAACTATTGCATCTACACCCTTTCCTCCTCCACAAACTGTAGTAATCTCCTTTTCTGTTCTAATCCCTTCTTCAGTCTTGTGGCTGAGTAGAAGTCAAGGTTATCATATTTTCAGATATATCAAAGCTAGAACACATAAGCTTATAAAGATGAAGATACTCATACTCAGTGGTCATTAACGCCTTTCAAAGCCAATCTCTTTTTTGTTTTAACTTTTGCTTTTTTTTTCCTCACTTGAAAAATAGTTGCTTTTTTTTTTTTTTTGGCTGGTCCTGGGGCTTGAACTGAGCTTCTTTTCCTCAAGGCTAGCACTCTACTACTTGAGCCATAGTGACATTTCCAGCTTTTTCTGAGTAGTTTATTGGACCTAAAAGTCTCACGGACTTTTCTGCCTGGGCTGGCTTTAAACCTGTGATCCTCAGATCTCAGCCTCCTGAGTAGTTAGGATTACAGGCACTAGCCACCTGGCTGAAAAGTAGTTTTTATGATATGGTCTTTTGGAGGAAAAAGGAGTCAGATTTAAGTTCTCTGTTTTCTGATGACAAAACTCCTTTTTATTTTGATTGAGGGAAATGTCTAGTCCACAGAATTTCACATTATCATGACTTATGTATCTCTTTCTCAAACATAATCATTGTTTTATGGCTTTTTTTGTGTAGTGAGCAATGTCCTCCATGATGTCAAATAGAAAAAGAATGGTAAAAATAACCTTAATTATTTTATGTTGGTCTACATTTTTTACTTTTGGCAGTGTTACAGTTTGAGCTCAGGGCCTTTTGCTTTCTAGGTAGGTGGTCT